TGTCCTTCCTAAAGTAAGGAGCCCAAGACTGAACACAATATTCCAAATGTAGCCTAACCAATGACATATACAATGAAATTATAACCTCTTTAGACTTGTATTCAATATTTCTGTAGATACACCTTAAAATCCTACTTGCCCTACCACTAGCAACATCACACTGCTTGAATGGCTTTAGAGACTGATCACTTATTACACCAAGATCCCTTTCCTTCATAACACTATTAAGGTTATTCCCATCCTAATTATACTTATAATTCAAATTATGATAACCCACACGCGTTATCTTGCATTTATTATAATTAAAACCCATCTTCCATTTATTTGCTTAACACACTAAATGATCTAAATCCTTTTGTAAATCAGCAGCATCCTCTTCACAGTCAGCAACACCCAAGATCTTAATACCATCTGCAAATATAAGTAATTTATTGACCATTCCTTCATCTATGTCACTGATGTAAATCAAAAAGAGCAAAGGTCCTAAGACTGAGCCCTGAGATACCCCACTTGTGACATTAATCCAGTTATGTATCAACAGTAATCAATATCGTCTTATCCTTCATTAAAGTCCCCGCACTTTAAGCTGTAAGTGCGTTAAAAATGTGATAGTCAATCCCTTAGCGTTCATAATGGGTGGCAGATAGCTTTAGTAGCTTTGCTATCAATACTCGTTGGTTTATTAAAAGTAATAATTCATGTCCATACTTTCATTCTTATAGAATGTCATTAAGTTGGAGAAAACTGTAAAATTCTACTTGTTGAACATAAACTATACAACTGCCTATATGTACTGTGTACATTGTGTGGCTCGAATCCCGAATTTTAGTGTTATGAGCGTTCAATCTGAGCCATCTTGAGGTGCAAGTAATATTAAAAGCTCGGTATATTTTATTTGTATAACTATAATTGTTATTTTATGATTGTGCTAAAAGTATAAATATTATTAAGTTTCCGGTAATAATTTTTATTCCATTGTAGTGTTCAAAAGAAAAAGGTTTGTTGACATTATATTTATTATTTATTTTATTTTATTGTAACGTTAAAAAGTAATGACCTGACAATAATTATTGATTTATTTCAAATAAACAATGGAATAGAACTTTTCCATAACCTGACTTAAAAACCAAAGTCAGTCTCTACTCGTATGATGTTGAAAGAGAAAAGTTTGTATCAAGAATATATACTCATATTAATAAGCTTTCGGTGTCTTCATATAATCTGATAAACAGAACTACCTTCGTCAGTCAAATTGTAGAGATTTTGGGAAACAGAAACTTGTCGTTAATAACCTTTCTGTGTTTTGATATATTCTTATAAACAGGGCTCCCTCTGTCGGTCAAACTGTAGAAACAGAAACTTGTCGTTAATAACCTTTCTGTGTTTTGATATATTCTTATAAACAGGGCTCCCTTTGTCGGTCAAACTGTAGAAACAGAAACTTGTCGTTAATAGCCCTTCTCTGTTTTGATATATTCTTATAAACAGGGCTCCCTCTGTCGGTCAAACTGTAGAAACAAAAACTTGTCGTTAATAGCCTTTCTCTGTTTTGATATATTCTTATAAACAGGGCTCCCTTTGTCGGTCAAACTATAGAAACGTTGGGAAACTCACAAATACCACCAATAATTTGCCTCATTTTGATATAACGTCAAAACAGAATTCCCTCTGTTGGTCAAACTGTACAAAAACTGCTAACTTGGGACTTACCATCAATCAGTTGTCTTTGTTTTGATATAATCTCATCACAGAACTCCCTCTGTCGGTCAAACCGTAAAATCATAATATCCCGTTGTCGTAGTTCGTGTTCTCGAATTAACTGGTCAGCTTGCATTTCAATTTCTAATAAAACAACAAGTAAGATACCATGTCAAATAAAACCAAATTAACTCCCTTGTTAACCTAAATACTTCAAAAATAGGGTAGCAAATACTCATAAAATACAGAAAACTTATTAAGCATTTCTATAAAAATTATTTGCTTGTTTACATATCTATTACGGGTAATATTTATATGTAAAATTTTTTGGCCATAGTAAAATCAAACAAATATTAAACATATTTTTTAAAAACGTTAAAAATTGCGGACAAAAAAGGATTGAGTGTGCGACAGGAATGAAATCAAAATTGGCGGCTAAACTGGTAGTTACACTTATTACATTGATAATACTTTTACAGCAAATATTCATTCAATAGTTAACTAGACCGAGTATTTTGTTTTACCCACCATCATGCCCCAAGTTGAACACTCAATCCTTTTTTGTCCGCAACTTTTATTAACATTTAAGGTGTTTTTGTTAGATATCACGACTTTTTGCCAATACACACCAACAAACCACACCCGATAGCAGCCCACATTAGTATTAGAATCGCAACCCTATTATTCGGTATAGACCTTTATTTAACAAAATCAACCGGATTCTTTAAAATAGATTGTGGTAGTTTTTTCCTTTCTGAAACAGTGTTAATAGCTTCCTTTATTGTAACACCATGGAATTTAGATTACCAGTTTCTTGTCATCACCCCCAAAACGATCGGTACAGCCATATCAAGCATCATTATTTATGCTAATTACTTATGCTAATATCACTTGATGCTAAACGTTCCTTAGTTAGGAGAATTTGATAAAATTTAGTAAATTTTTTCTTAAAAGTTGGCAATGAATAATAATCGTCCACCCGTATGATTCTTTTGAAAACGTGAGCTAGAAACAGCTAATCTAGTTTGCATGGCCTAACCAATACTTATGTATCTGCACGTCCTTTGACCTTATAGTTTTGCTAATCTAAATCAGCCGTCTTTAATCCGAATGACAATAACTAAAACGTCCCACTTTTACTCTTAGTTGAAGCTGTAGTAAAAATTTCAGACTGATAGATCACGTGACTTTTTGCGTAGGCGTGCGCAAACATTTTCGTCAAATTTCGGTGGTTTTTGTTGAATAACTTTACACACGTGGCTTATATTTACACCAAATGAGACTCCTAATTGTAAGTTGTAAAGATCTATCAGTGTACCAATTTTGAAAAAAAAAAAATCATAAAAGTTAAGTAT